TAAAAACCCAAATATTATAAAATTATCAATAAAATAAGTTTTAAGCGGATTTGAAATCAATAAATGGTCAATGACGAAAAAGTGACGTCATAGCTTGGCAATAATTTTGACAGTCATTGACTATAATAGTGCTGTCAAGTACATTACCAATTTCTGGGCATTTAACGGTATATTCTGTCATATTTCATGTTCACCAATGGCAGCTGTCAAACCTTTATGACAAGGGCGAAAATATTCGTACGAGCAGCTAGAGGTATTCTTATAAAAATACATGCTAAGATACTCTGGTGAATCTAACTGTGTTTAGAATGTAACATCGAAAACGGATAATTTTTAAATATGTCAGTTTTTTACCAATTAATATTTAGTACATTGTCATGCAGTCCCGTATACTGTATCAAATTCAAAACTGACATTTCTCTGATTTTACGTTATTCTATTCAAGTTACATTGTGCAGAGTATACTTCATTTTCGTCGACTTAGTATAATTCCGTGTGTAATTTTTATGTTTCTATTGAATCTTCACTGAACAATTTTTCGGAGATCGTTCCCTATACCTGGCTGTGTAACATTCACCTGAGCATGATCCTGTTGACGAGAAGCATGGTGTTGGTCGCCTACGCCTGGAAATACATAAGTTTGTCTTGTTAGTTTCATTTTCCAGTGTGGAAATAATTGCGACTTGTGGCGGGAAAGTCGAGCGTCATTTATGTTTCACTAGCTTTCCGCCCGCGGCTTCGCCCGCGTGGAACTTTGTCTGTCACAGAAAAACTTTATCGCGCGCGTCCGTTTCAAAAACCGGGATAAAAACTATCCTATGTCCTTTTACTCAAACTATCTTTATGCCAAATTTCATCAAAATCGGTTCAGTGGTTTAGGCGTGAAAGAGAGACAGACAGACAGACAGAGTTACTTTCGCATTTATAATATTAGTATAGATTTGCTACGATTTGGTGTTGTACTTTAAATAAAAGATCTCATTATCAAATTGTAAATATTCCCGTTACTTAAGACACAGTTTCCATCAATGCGGAAAGAGATGTGTTTGTTGATTGATCGGTTATTCAACTTTGCTTTGGTGGAAACCGGGTCTTCAATAAAGTCCAGCGGTCAACGGTCGTTTAATTCTTTTAACTTCGTCAGGCCCCATGGCGTCGTCATGGTGGTTATTCGGCGTGAGTGCAGGCAGGTTTGGTTTTTATTTGTAGTCAAGCTAGATCCTGGTTAAACAAGAGTTGCAGCAGTGGGAACGAGAGGTGGGAATAGCCCATACCTGTAACTCAGACCTCGTCAGGCGCCATAGCGTCATCATTGTGTTTGGGCTGGCATCACGCGGTCTGAGAGGAGGATCCGTATCGAGCGGGCAGATTATTGGCAAACCCTTTATTATTGGCTTCATAAAGCCACCATCAATAGTCCTATAACTCCACATACCTGCACTCAGACTTTGTCGGGTGCCATGGCGTCGTCGTGGTGGTTGTAGGGCGTGGGCTGTGGCGAGGGCTGCGGCCTCTAGAAGGGAGTCCTACAGGCCACGCGACACATACCTGTAGCTCAGACTTCGTCGGGCGCCATGGCGTCATCATGGTGGTTGGGCTGGCATCATGAGGTCTTCGGGAAGGATGCCGCTTCGAGCGTGAATATTTTTTTTATGTGACAGGAGGCAAACGAGCAGACGGATCACCTGATGGTAAGTGATTACCGTCGCCCATAGACACCCGCAGACCCAGGGGCGTTACAGGTGCGTTGCCGGCCTTTAAGGTGAAGATACGCTCTCTTCTTGAAAGCTTGTAGGTCGTATCGTCCCTCCGGTGCCACATACCTGCTCAGACCTCGTCGGGCGCCATGGCGTCGTCGTGGTGGTTGTCTGGCGTGGGCGCAGGCGAGGGCTGGGGCCTTGGCGGCGGCCTCTAGAAGGGAGTCCTACAGGCCACGTGACATACCTGCTCAGACCTCGTCGGGCGCCATGGCGTCGTCATGGTGATTGGGTCTGAGGGGAGGATGCCCTTTCGAGCGTGCAGATTATGTGCAAGCCCAATGAAGTCACAATCAAGTCCTATAACTTTACATACCTGCCGCTCAGACCTCGTAGGTCGCCATAGCGTTGTTATGTCGATTGTTCGGCTAAGACTCGGGCTACGGGGAGGGCGGGGCCTTGGCGACGGCTTCTAGAAGGGAGTCCTACAGGCCACGTGACATACCTGCTCAGACCTCGTCGGACCCCATGGCGTCGTCGTGGTGGTTGTCTGGCGTGGGCGTGGGCTGGGGCGATGGCTGCGGCGAGGGCGGCGCCTTGGCGGCGGCCTGGAGGGAGTCCTACAGGCCACGTGACACATACCTGCGCTCACTCTAGAAGGGAGTCCTACAGGCCACGTGACACGTACCTGCGCTCATTCTAGAAGGGAGTCCTACATGCCACGTGACATACCTGCTCAAACCTCGTCGGGCGCCATGGCGTCGTCGTGGTGGTTGTCTGGCGTGGGCGCAGGCGTGGGCGTGGGCTGCGGCGATGGCTGCGGCGAGGGCGGGGCCTTGGCGGCGGCCTCGAAGGAGTCCTACAGGCCACGTGCCACATACCTGCGCTCACTCTAGAAGGGAGTCCTACAGGCCACGTGCCACATACCTGCGCTCACTCTAGAAGGGAGTCCTACAGGCCACGTGACATACCTGCTCAGACCTCGTCGGGCGCCATGGCGTCATCATGGTGGTTGTCGGGCGTGGGCGCAGGCGTGGGCTGGGGCGATGGTTGCGGCGAGGGCGGGGCCTTGGCGGCGGCCTCTAGAAGGGAGTCCTACAGGCCACGTGCCACATACCTGCGCTCACTCTAAAAGGGAGTCCTACAGGCCACGTGACATACCTGCTCAGACCTCGTCGGGCGCCATGGCGTCATCATGGTAGTTGGGCTGGCATCAGTAGGGCTTATTGGCGATCAAGCTGTAGATCCTGGCTACACAGGAGTTGCTGCGGTGGGAACCAGACATGGGAATAGTCCATACCTGTAGCTCGGACCTTGTCAGGCTCCATGGCGGTTATCCGGCGCGCCGGCTGCGGCTGTGGGAAGGGCGCCACCTTGGCCGTTGCCTCAAGCCACAATCAAAGGTAAGTCTTATCAGAGTAAATACAAATGAGTAGGACACCTTCATAGAAACGCACCGAGCGCGGTTTGTATGTGAGCGCGCCAATACGTATGCGGCGCACACGCACACACTGACAAAATTTATCGTGGATTAACGGGGAGTTGCGCCGAATTTTGTCAGTGTGCTCACATACAAACCGCGCTCGGTGCGTTTCTATGAAGATGACCTACTCATTTGTATTTACTCTGGTCTTATAGTCCAAGTACTAACATACCTGCCGCTCAAACCTCGTCGGGCGCCATGGCGTCGTCGTGGTGGTTGTCTGGCGTGGGCGCAGGCGTGGGCGTGGGCTGCGGCGAGGGCGGGGCCTTGGCGGCGGCCTCTAGAAGGGAGTCCTACAGGCCACATGACATACCTGCTCAGACCTCGTCGGGCGCCATGGCGTCGCCGTGGTGGTTAGGCTAGCATCACTAGATCTTGGCTACACAGGAGTTGCAGTAGTGGGAACGAGAGGTGGGAATGGTCTATACCTGTAGCTTAGACCTCGTCAGGCGCCATGGCGTCATCATGGTATTTATTGGGCGTGCGCACCGGTTCATGCTGTAGGGAGGACGCCGCTTTGGCGGCGCAGATTATGTGCAAACCCAAGGAAGTCACAATCAAGTCCTATAACTCCACATACCTGCTCTCAAACCTCGTCGGGCGCCATGGCGTCATCGTGGTGGTTGTCTGGCGTGGGCTGCGGCGTGGGCGTGGGCTGGGGCGATGGCTGCGGCGAGGGCGGGGCCTTGGCGGCGGCCTCGAGCGCGCGGATGCGGTTCTCTTGCTTCACGATGACTGACTTCAGCTTGCGGATCTCGTCCACCAGGTCGGACAGCTGCTTCTCCTGGAAAGTGAAGGTTTTGATATACAAGTTAAACACTATATAAACTGTTCATAAACAATGTTTCATCATCTCTGTAAACAGTTTATAAACAGTCCATAAACATAGGTGATGATACATGTTGCCGTGCTCCTCGCTTTGACTGGAGAGCAAGTGTGGACGGTCAAGTTTCAGAAACCTGTGTTTATGGTAAACTTGTTTCACACTAGTCATAAACAGTTTATCAACAAATGTTGCGTAATGAATACATGGCTTTAAAGTATACGCAATTTTGACTCCTATTTATGAGGTACTCTCAAGAACGGTAGTAATTTTGGTGGTGGAATATTATACGCACAATCTGCTGGTAGCGGTGGTGGTAGGAAAACGCATTCTTCTCAGTGTCATGGAGTAGTAATTGGTATTCAATTATTGTGGTACCGCGATGTGGGCGGGGCCTAATTTGCTGTTCGATTTTGCTAGTGTTTTGGGGTAATTTTGTTGATATCTAACTGCTGCTTCACTATGGTAGTTGTAACAAATCACTGGGCATGGAAGATGCTTAATATACTGTAATATGAGCGGGGCTTTTTGGTGCACATTTCGCTAAAGTTCAAAGAGGAAATGGAATATTAGACAATCACAATCTGCTGCGTCACAGGTGCGGCGGGCAGCGTCGTAGCGGCCTAATCGTGCTTGGAGACAGGCGTGAGCAACCTTTCATTGCCAGTAGCGAGCACGTCATTCTTGGTGACATTCAGTAAATTTTTGTGGGCGGGGCCAAGTTACAATCTCCCACGATTGTGGGCGTGGCTTGTTGGCTAAAGTGTAATGGGAATCATTGATAGATATTAGACTTACAATCTGCTGTGTAACTGGTGTGGCAGGCGGCGGCGTAGCGGCCTGGTCTTGCTAGCTATAGGGCTGGGTGGAAAAGCAGACTCAATCAAGATCTGCTGCGTGACCGTGACAAGCCTGATCGTGCTAGCTATAGGACGTGGGGAAGTTGGACTTACAATCTGCTGCGTAACTGGTGTGGCAGGCGGCGGCGTAGCGGCCTGGTCGTGCTTAGAAGCCGGCGTGGGTGACCTCTCCTTGCCAGTAGCGAGCGCGTTCTTCTTGGTGACATTCAGTAAATTTTTGTGGGCGGGGCCAAGTTACAGTCTCCCACAATTATGGGCGTGGCTTGTTGGCTTAAGTTTATGGGAATCTTTAATTGATATGGACTCACAATCTGCTGCGTAACTGGTGTGGCAGGCGGCGGCGTAGCGGTCTGGTCTTGCTAGCTATAGGGCTGGGTGGAAAAGCAGACTCAATCAAGATCTGCTGCGTGACCGTGACAAGCCTGATCGTGCTAGCTATAGGACGTGGGGAAGTTGGACTTACAATCTGCTGTGTAACTGGTGTGGCAGGCGGCGGCGTGGCGGCTTGATCGTGCTTAGAAGCCGGCGTGGGCGAGCGCTCCTTGCCGGTAGCGAGCGCGTCATTCTTTGGTGACAATTAGTAAATTTTTGTGGGCGGGGCCAAGTTACAATCTCCCACAATTATGGGCGTGGCTTGTTGACTAAAGTTTAAAGGAATCATTGATACATATTGGACTCACCTGCTGCGTAACTTGTGCGGCAAGCGGCGGTCAAGCAGTGGCGTAGCGGCCTAGCTATAAGACTGGGGGGAAAAGGGGTCTCAAGATTTGCTGCGTGGCAATGACTAGTCTGGTCGTGCTAGCTATAGGGCGGGGGAACTAGTATCGTGTTTGGTACACGTTTCGCTAAATTTCAAAGAATATTATGCCCATATTGGTCACTTAAAAATTAGGGATTGGTGGTGAAAACGGGCATTAACCGCTTGAGTCCCAGACGGCATTCATTAATGTTATAACAATTGATTATCTAGAGTGTCTAGATTCGCGGGCCTTGAAGGATTAAACTTACAATCTGCTGTGTAACTGGTGTGGCAGGCGGCGGCGTAGCGGCCTGGTCGTGCTTGGAAGCCGGCGTGGGTGACCTCTCCTTGCCGGCAGCGAGCGCGTTCTTCTTGGTGACGTGCAGCTGCGTTGCGGCGCGGCCCGACACGTAGCCGCCCTGCACGACAAGAGCGCGCTCCTGTAGTTTGGTTAGGGAGCCCCTAGCCTATAGCATCTGTCTTTTGATAGTTCTGTTGGCTTTATTGATAATTTGGGGGGTGTTTATCGATTTTAAGATTGAAATTGGTATGTTTTAATAGTTAATTGTTTATTGCATTTCACAGTGTTTTTGTTGCGTGATAACTTAAGAATCATAACGAGGAAAATTCAGATTTTACAAGTTAAATTCAGATTTTTCAATGAAAACGGTTCTTAGCATAAACCATTTCGCTTATGTCAACTTTATACAAATAATAAAATATTGACACTATGTTTGTTTAGTCAAAGTAAGCGAGTATTTATACCCACTACTTTTCACTAAATAAAAAAACTAATATTCAAGATATTGTAATTCAATGAAAAACAGATTTATAAATGTATGCCAAATAAGCAATCTAATATAGGAAATTCCCAATTTAAATGTAACCCAAATTAATTACATGAGCCCCATTGTATTATTCGTTATATTGGTTATTGTTAGTAACAGTATCAAAGCATCAAACTCGAGTTATCACATGGAACACAACACAGCAGTTTTAGAGGAAGCCAACAGAATCATCAATCAACACTGGGAAAGAGTCAACACATTTACACTTAAACATATTCACAGACTGACGCCCGTATTCACAAATATTACTATGTATCACTGGAACTGAACTGGGCTGGAAGACGTAGCGTGGGCAGGCCTCCTACTAGGTGGACCGACGATCTGGTAAAGGTCGCGGGAAGAGCCTGGATGCGGGCAGCGCAGGACCGTTCATTGTGGAAAACCTTGGGGGAGGCCTTTGTCCAGCAGTGGACGTCATTTGGCTGAAAACTATGTATCACAATGCGCGTGGACGCACAGGGTGACACACGAACCAATCACAGAGCTCTATTCAACGCTGTGCGTCCGATTTGCTGCTTCACTTAAGCAAGCATCGTTTGTGAATACGGGCGATACGTTCTCGTCAGAATCGTGTGGCCACTGACCAGTAAATTTTTGGGGAACTGAAAGTCAAATAGCCAAAAGTTTGCTGGCCATACCACTCAAAAATATCTTTTAATATTATATCATTTTCCAGGACTGCATTCAAACATGCCATCTAAAGCTCGGTTGCCGAGCACGTAGAATTTCGTCCAATGACCCCAAGCTCCTTATCGCTCGCGCGTAATTATGTTGCTATCGCGCTCGCACACTCACTGCGGCCGCCCGTCGCACAGTTGCGACGGCAATATTACGCGCGAGCGATAAGGATGGGTATCTTGGGGGTCATTGGACGAAATTCTAATAGAAACAATATAAACTAATAACGCGTGTTATAATGACTACAGTATGTGTTGACCCTTATTTTAATCACATTATTTACTATAAACTTATATTATGCCATATGTAGTCCATCGACATTGGCTTCGGAGATGGGCTTAGTTAACGCAGAAATATTGTTATTATAAAAATAGAAAAGTAAAGATTTGAATCATGTATAACGTAATCGGAACAGGTATATATTTAAGATGATTACGTTATCAAAGGACAAGCTTTTAATTATACCTATCTAAACTTTCCAATAATCATAAATCATAAAACGTGAAATATCTGCATATTCCGACCACAGATCTGAGGGCCTATTGTAAGTTTAAATCATACGTCATCACCAGTGAGCGCGTAAAAAAATGACATTAAATGTACAGTATCCGGCATTAAATATTGCACATCGACCTTTGGAAGGAGAATCGGTTAATTTCGGCTCGTAGAGCGTTATCTCTGTCGCACACTACCTATACGATTGACAAAACGTCATTGACAAAACATTATTCAATGAAAATATTGTCCGAACTCTTAGTATTTCTCTTCAACAAATACTTTAACACGTTGTAAACCACTTTTCTTTCACGACTATAAAAAGTTTTTAGCAATTTAATTCACAAAATCAATTGCACACATTTAAAATAAAGTTTGTTTACACTTTGACAAAACGTCATTGTCAGTCATTGTTCAAGTGCGATAGTGCTAACGCTCTACGAAACCGAAATTAGCCGATTGTCTCTTTCTAAAGGTCGATGTGCAATATTTATCGCCGGGTATTGTATGACGAATTGTACAGCGCCCCTAGCGGAAACTTTCAATAACTAAAATTTTCATACATTTTTTTAAAGCGCTCACTAGTGTGGACGTTTTATATAAACTCATACTAAGCCCTCTGATCAGTTGATTCTTCCATCGAGAGAACACAGTGTTTATACTCAAGTGTAGGATATTTCCTATGTCACACAATATCACTTACCGTCAGATTTTGGTACACATTTAACATGTATTTGAAAAACCATGCACATAGAAATCACATACATATTTACAAAATACAATTAAAATGTATGTGGTAAGACATGAGCAAGTGGATAATTTATTTATTTAAAATCTTGAATTCAAAGCGAACGCAGTACCGCTGTCATTATGGGGTTATCATCATCATTAAATTATTTGCAGTTCACTGCTGGACTTAAGCCTCTCCCAATGAGATCCAAAGAGCATAATAAATTTCCAAATTTTTTCTCTCAGCCATTGCTAGGTATTTTCTTGACGTCGTCGGTCTATCCAACTTTCCCGACACATGACCTACATGTGACCGGAATGGATAGGGTCAGGGGATAGTTTCACCGAATTTTTTATTCCATAAGCTATGTCACTACATAATAGTCGAAAAGATTTTGAAAGGTAGAGGAGCATACCACCGTTCAGCGGCATTTTTGTGGGAGGGCGATATATCATATGCTGATATAAAATATCACGAAGAGAGTGTACCTTGGGTAACATGATGCCCGGATTTACAGTGGAGTTGGGAAGGGCTTATCTTCAGCGACATTTTTCTGGACCATTTATAGGACTCCTACGGGACCGTAGGACTGGTAGGAGAGGCGAATGATGGGAGGGGCGTACCTTCAGCGACATTTTTCTGGGCCATTTATAGGACTCCTACGGGACTGTAGGACTGGTAGGAGAGGGGAAGGATGGGAAGGGCGTACCTTCAGCGACATTTTTCTGGGCCATTTATAGGACTACTACGGGACTGTAGGACTGGTAGGAGAGGGGAAGGATGGGAAGGGCGTACCTTCAGCGACATTTTTCTGGGCCATTTATAGGACTACTACGGGACTGTAGGACTGGTAGGAGAGGGGAAGGATGGGACGGGCGTACCTTTAGCGACATGGTGGCGGGCTCGGCGTCCTCCCCCGCGAGCCACTCGTCGGCGGTCAGGCTGGCTTCATCACTCAGCGTGTCAGGGTACAAGTCTTCTTGGAAGAGCTCCGACTTGCGAGGCACCGTCATTGACACCACCTGGCACGGGACAACACTGTATAGTTGTTACTTGAAATGACTGCGGTCTCCCCGGCTTGTTTAAAGAAACTCCTTAACAAGGAAATCGCTTACATTTGGACTTCTCAAATTCAATAATCAGAATCGACAATAAATTGCAACCAATTTCAAGAATTCAAATAAAAATGCTTTGAGACTGCTTAGAGTTGGCGCTGAATGTAGATTCGATAGCAATGACGAGTTCCAATATCTTAATGTAATCAATTTAATCAGTTACTTCAGTAAAAAATTTACTTACAGCGTCGAGACGCATAACAGAAGTAACTTCGATAGAAAAGTGATTTGACAAGTGAGGACATTTAATTATATTACAATAACTTTACAAAAGTTCAGTCAAAATCCTTACCTGACAGAGTCCAGAATTGTTTAGCCTATAGAACTTGGCGATTTCACACGTGGCCACGTCGCACCCTCTCTTCGGCATCATACCGATACCTGCACAAAAACAATGCGAAATTGCCGATATTTGATAATAAAATAATGTTGTAAAAGTTAATGAAAGAATGTGTTTACCTCGCTGTGGGTCTGGCGTTTGGAAGGTGTTGATGTAGTGGACGAATGGGGGCTCGGGTGTAACCTGCAAATGGAAATAGTTATTTTAAACCTGAGTAGTCGATCGATGAATATCAAATTTAAACAATTTGATATTCAGGGTTAGAGGGTTGAAGAGTGATGAGAGGTGAAAATTAACTTGACTGATAGAGGGTTGGGAAGGTCAGTAGCTTTCATTGGTTTTGCGACAGCTATGACGGTAGATATAGTCTGGTCTGAGAGCACGTAGAATTTTGTCCAATGACCTCAAGCTACCCATCCTTATCGCTCGCGCGTAATTATATTGCTGTCGCGACTGTGCGACGCGCGCCCGCAGTGAGTGTGCGAGCCATTGATTGGTTATTCAAACATTTTTCCGCTTCGTTCCGCCATCGTGGAAACCAGGTCATAGTCATGAATGGGTTGCAAAAACAAGGGAGGTGAGAAGTGGAGGGAGGGGGTGGGATTACAAACGATGCAGGTGAGGGGTAGGAAGGGTTTTCTTTCATCGATTTTACGAGAGATATACCTTTTTTTTATGTGACAGGAGGCAAACGAGCAGACGGATCACCTGATGGTAAGTGATTACCGTCGCCCATAGACACCTGCAGACCCAGGGGCGTTACAGGTGCGTTGCCGGCCTTTAAGGTGAAGATAAGCTCTCCTCTTGAAAGCTTGCAGGTCGTATCCGTCCGGAAACACCACAGACGACAGTCCATTCCACAGTTTGGTTGTACGGGGCAGGAAGTTTCTGGAGAAACGTACTGTGGACTGCCAACCATCTAAGTGATGGGGATGGAAGTGCTGTCGAAATACCTCGAAGTAGCGGATGACGGAGTCGCCCTTGCCGCAGAGGTAGATGAGGTTGGTATCGGGGTCGTAGAGCGGGAACATCACTCCGTTGCTTGTGTCGATCTCCGTCACGAGCGCTCCGCTAGACACCAGGCGCTCACCTCGAAGTAGCGGATGACGGAGTCGCCCTTGCCGCAGAGGTAGATGAGGTTGGTATCGGGGTCGTAGAGCGGGAACATCACTCCGTTGCTTGTGTCGATCTCCGTCACGAGCGCTCCGCTAGACACCAGGCGCTCACCTCGAAGTAGCGGATGACGGAGTCGCCCTTGCCGCAGAGGTAGATGAGGTTGGTATCGGGGTCGTAGAGCGGGAACATCACTCCGTTGCTTGTGTCGATCTCCGTCACGAGCGCTCCGCTAGACACCAGGCGCTCACCTCGAAGTAGCGGATGACGGAGTCGCCCTTGCCGCAGAGGTAGATGAGGTTGGTATCGGGGTCGTAGAGCGGGAACATCACTCCGTTGCTTGTGTCGATCTCCGTCACGAGCGCTCCGCTAGACACCAGGCGCTCACCTCGAAGTAGCGGATGACGGAGTCGCCCTTGCCGCAGAGGTAGATGAGGTTGGTATCGGGGTCGTAGAGCGGGAACATCACTCCGTTGCTTGTGTCGATCTCCGTCACGAGCGCTCCGCTAGACACCAGGCGCTCACCTCGAAGTAGCGGATGACGGAGTCGCCCTTGCCGCAGAGGTAGATGAGGTTGGTATCGGGGTCGTAGAGCGGGAACATCACTCCGTTGCTTGTGTCGATCTCCGTCACGAGCGCTCCGCTAGACACCAGGCGCTCACCTCGAAGTAGCGGATGACGGAGTCGCCCTTGCCGCAGAGGTAGATGAGGTTGGTATCGGGGTCGTAGAGCGGGAACATCACTCCGTTGCTTGTGTCGATCTCCGTCACGAGCGCTCCGCTAGACACCAGGCGCTCACCTCGAAGTAGCGGATGACGGAGTCGCCCTTGCCGCAGAGGTAGATGAGGTTGGTATCGGGGTCGTAGAGCGGGAACATCACTCCGTTGCTTGTGTCGATCTCCGTCACGAGCGCTCCGCTAGACACCAGGCGCTCACCTCGAAGTAGCGGATGACGGAGTCGCCCTTGCCGCAGAGGTAGATGAGGTTGGTATCGGGGTCGTAGAGCGGGAACATCACTCCGTTGCTTGTGTCGATCTCCGTCACGAGCGCTCCGCTAGACACCAGGCGCTCACCTCGAAGTAGCGGATGACGGAGTCGCCCTTGCCGCAGAGGTAGATGAGGTTGGTATCGGGGTCGTAGAGCGGGAACATCACTCCGTTGCTTGTGTCGATCTCCGTCACGAGCGCTCCGCTAGACACCAGGCGCTCACCTCGAAGTAGCGGATGACGGAGTCGCCCTTGCCGCAGAGGTAGATGAGGTTGGTATCGGGGTCGTAGAGCGGGAACATCACTCCGTTGCTTGTGTCGATCTCCGTCACGAGCGCTCCGCTAGACACCAGGCGCTCACCTCGAAGTAGCGGATGACGGAGTCGCCCTTGCCGCAGAGGTAGATGAGGTTGGTATCGGGGTCGTAGAGCGGGAACATCACTCCGTTGCTTGTGTCGATCTCCGTCACGAGCGCTCCGCTAGACACCAGGCGCTCACCTCGAAGTAGCGGATGACGGAGTCGCCCTTGCCGCAGAGGTAGATGAGGTTGGTATCGGGGTCGTAGAGCGGGAACATCACTCCGTTGCTTGTGTCGATCTCCGTCACGAGCGCTCCGCTAGACACCAGGCGCTCACCTCGAAGTAGCGGATGACGGAGTCGCCCTTGCCGCAGAGGTAGATGAGGTTGGTATCGGGGTCGTAGAGCGGGAACATCACTCCGTTGCTTGTATCGATCTCCACCGTCACGATCGGTTCCGATAATGCGTCTGGCGTGCGCAGCGTATACTGACGCTCGGACATTCGGCTGAAACTGCAACAAAAAGGAAAGTTAGGCTGGGTCTCCAGCATGTGTTTAGCCCTACACAATCAACCAAAACATTTCAAAATTCAACATACCTAAATGTTGAAATAAAAAAAATGTTGAATGTTGATATGTTTTTGTTGATTGTGTAGGGCAAAACCAGAGTAAATACAAATGAGTAGGTCATCTTCATAGAAACGTACCGAGCGCGGTTTGTATGTGAGCGCACGCCAATAATTCGGCGCAACTCCCCGCTAAATTTTGTCAGTGTGTGTGGCTTTAGTTGAACAAGTGAGAGAATAAGGGCCTACGCAAAACGTTGGTAACGTGGCATGAAGGGGAATAATGGTTCTAAGGGCTTATGCTAAAACCAGCGCGGACGCATGCACGCGAGTCTGTATCGAAAAGTAGTATGAAGATGATAAAAGTAGATGAAAACTAGCGCCATCTGTAATTGAACACGGCGTTGTCATTGGTTGGCGTAGCAGTTGCATTGACAATGTCAACTATAGTCTCGTCTGTGAGCACGTAGAATTTTTTCCAATGACCCTAAGCTACCCATCCTTATCGCTCGCTCGTAATTATGTTACTGTCGCACTCGCTCACTCACTGCGGGCGCCCGTCGCACAGTCGCGACAGCAATATAATTACGCGCGAGCGATAAGGATGGGTAGCTTGGGGTCATTGGACAAAATTCTACGTGCTCTCAGACCAGACTATATCTACCGTCATAGCTCGTAGCAGTAGCTTTCATTGGTCGCAAAACCAATGAAAGCTACTGCTAATAAAATAATACGTATGCGGAACGGGCAAATTTTTTCAGTCGCATGTAATGCAATTGAAGGAAAATAAATTAGCAAGTTCAACTTACCCAGTGGTGAATACGAGGCCGTGCTTGAGGAATATAGCCCTTGAGGCCTTGCTGCCCTCGTGCGCGATGGCTTCTGACTCCACCTCGCCTTTGCGCGGGTCGATGATTCTGCAGAGAACAACAATGACTCCATTAACATACAAATTGATATTAGACTTTGACATACAATTTGTACTTGTATTTCGTATGAATCAACTGAGTTGAGTTTATTTAGATTGACCCTTACTTGTTTCCAGGAATAAATAGTCATTCCCAATGTTGATCTTCACATTTAGTAGAATTGTGGTTTAGAAAACGCGCCATAGAGCCTATTTATTTTACGAAACACCACAATGAAAACAGAAGGCCCTGGCCAATATTCAGAGGATCGGAAGTGGGACAAGTATTAGGTGAAAAGGGGCTGAAATTGATAGTGCAAAAAGAGTGAGAGAGGAATTTGGTAGAGCAAAAAATCATGGAATATCCAAGGTTCATTATGAGTAAGATTTGTCGATTTCTGACTAGTATAAGCCTAGCGGTTAACTGTGTCAATTCCTGACATATTATGACGTGACAAAGCACACACATCTGAAGTACATTTGAATTCTTGCTGACGTTTAACGACTGCAAAAACATCCTCCATACCACAGGCACCGACTGAGACTTATAACAGAGTAAATACAAATGAGTAGGTCATCTTCATAGAAACGCACGGGCGTGGTTTGTATGTGAGCGCGCCAACACGTATGCGGCGCGCACGCACACACTGACAAAATTTAGTGCGCGCCGCATACGTATATTGGCGCACTCACATACAAACCGTGCTCGGTGCGTTTCTATGAAGATGACCTACTCATTTATGTTTACTCTGCTAACCCAATAGTTTTTATTGGTGTGATACCTGATCTTCTTGTCGCGGCAGGTGGTGAGCAGCTTGGAGCCGGACCAGTTCCAGCAGGCCGAGTAGATGAGGTCGGGGTGGCAGTCCAGCGACAGCAGCACCTCGCCGGTGCCCACGTTCCAGATCGCTATCTGTTGGAGAAAGCAGAGCATTGGTTTCCTTCTGGTAATGATATTTGAAACAGATTGTCTATTCTATTATTCTATCATAATCATTTAACCTCGAATAAACTGAATGCAATTGGCCGACGACAGAAGTCGGTGGAAGATTGAAGAGGAGGTTCGAATACGAACCCTAAAGGCTGCTATAGATAGAATCTGTGGCGACGCCACTACAAACTAATGACCAACAGATAGCGTAAATAGGACCTTGGACCCCGAGCAATACACCCGCTCGGAAGGAAGCATTAACATCTAGCTTCCTTATTGTGGATGAACATCATATCCCACAAATCCTTTAACCAACATTTAGTTTAGTTTGTTTCATCAACCAGAGGACGTCCATTGCTGAACAGGGGCCTCTCCCAATGATTTCCACAACGATCCGTCATACGCTGCTCGTATGCAGGAGTTTCCCGCGACCGCAAATGTCTGATTATTGAAGAGTGACTTGGTCAAGCTGTAGAATTTACAGCTGGACCAAGTTACTCTTCTACAGTGTAGATCCTGGTCATACAAGGGTTGCGGCGGTGGGAATGAAAGGTGAGGATAGTCCTGTGAGCCTAGTATTCCATCTATTTCATCATCATCAGATCCACCGCAGGGTTTGTGAGTGCTCGCGACAGCCTGCCACCTCTAAAGACCTCATCTTTCTTTTAGCCTTCTAGCATCCAGAAGACAGTGACATCCCGCCATCTCTAAGGACCCTATCATTCTTTGCCCCTGTAGCCACGCACCTGGTTATCCGAGCCCATAGCACGAGAGTGGGGTGCCATAGCACGAGCCCCACGCGGCGCTGGTGGTACACCAGGTCCACCACGGATCCGTGAGAGTCCTCGACACCCCATCTCTAAGGACCCTATCATTCCTGGACCCTGTAGTCACGCACCTGGTTATCCGAGCCCGCTGTGAGCAGCACGTTCTGAGCGGTGGGATGCCATAGCACGAGCCCCACGCGGCGTTGGTGGTATACCAGGTCCACCACGGATCCTTGAAAGTCCTCGACACCTCATCTCCAAGGACCCTATTATTCCTGGACCCTGTAGCCACGCACCTGGTTATCCGAGCCCGCTGTGAGCAGCACGTTCTGAGCGGTGGGGTGCCACAGCACGAGCCCCACGCGGCGCTGGTGGTACACCAGGTCAACCACGGATCCGTGAGAGTCCTCGACACCTCATCTCTAAGGACCCTATCATTCCTTGCCCTTGTAGCCACGCACCTGGTTATCCGAGCCCGCTGTGAGCAGCACGTTCTGAGCGGTGGGGTGCCATAGCACGAGCCCCACGCGGCGCTGGTGGTACACCAGGTCAACCACGGGGTCCGTGAGGGTCCTCGATAGTCCGCCATCGGGGATCTGCCACACCTGTAAAGGTTGTATTTAGATGAGAACTATTGAAATGAAACGACATTTAGTTAGATTATACCAGCATTTGGCATTTACGATCGTCTAAAGCCCGGTCGCCGAGCACGTAGGATTTCGTCCATTGTCCCCAAGCTACGCGGGCGCCCGTTGCACAGTCGCGACAGCAATATAATTACGCGCGAGCGATAAGGTTGGGTAGCTCGGGGTCAATGGACGAAATCCTACGTGCTCGGCGACCGGACTATAATAAGGGTAGCCCTTAAAGGGCTCTACTCTCCTTATCTTTTGGGCCCTACAAGCTCGAGACAAACATGGCAAGGCTGAGAAGAAACTACGAAACAAAAATAGCTTAGTAGAATATACAGAAGATATTACACGTACTGGTACATTAAGTGAAATATTATTTAGAGATTGTAACATATTAATGAAATAAAATTAAATTAGAGATAAATAAATCATTTCACTCATCCATCCATAACAAAATAGTTGATATTGATGTATGTAATTGTTTTGTTTGCTGTTTATTATTTTTTATCTCATCCAA